GCTCCCCGACATCAACACCAAGATCCTCGAAGAAGTTCCCTGTTCTTTTAGGAATCATTCCGCGAGACCCAAACCAGAGGCCTCTCACTGTGAACTCTCTCTCTCTCCGAAGGTCTCGCGGAATTTCTCTTTTAGGAAAGGGGTGCATTTCTCGTAGATTTTCTTCTTTTCTCTTTCTACTTCATTGGCTTGTTCGAGGTCGTTGCTCTCATAGCGAACAGCTGGATCCAAGACCAGTGCCGCCTTCCCGGTTCTGGAAAATGCAACTATGTCCGCGTAACTTGTTGAGCCATCGGTATCAATGCAATAGACCTCGCCGAAGCATACGAATTCCCTTTCCCTAAGGAGCCTCATCAATTCGAATTTTACTCTATGGTGACGGCGTGTTATAAGGAGAGAGTTGTTAGGGCATTTTCCCAGCACCTGGGCTGGTGTTTCAGACTCTCTGCCACATTTGCGACAGAGGGACCCAACTTCCTTCGACTGTCCACTGGATCCTGGGACTCCACGCAACGGTGCATAGTTGATGTTAAGTTTCAAGGCGTTGGACCATTCTGACCCCGAAAGTACTTGCTTCTGACATATATATTTATTAGCTTTCGGAGTATCTTTGAAATGCCTAACTCCGACGCCTTGCCACCTGCAACTGGCTCATTCTTCAAAGGAATCCTCTCTCAGCGACTGTCGTAGAGCTCTCACGCTTCGGTGGCCCTGATCAACACCCCATCTCTCCACACATTCGGCTATTTCGACGATATAATCAAATATAGACTGAAACGGGGCATCCGGTACACTCGACAGTCACTGGGCAATGGACCAATGTTGCAAAGGAGCCTCCCCTTGACAGCGGATCAGTCCCAATCCTCAATACCTCCTTGGTGCATATAACATCGCCGATGATGTATTAGCGGGGAGCCCTATGATCGCCTTGATACTCCTGCGGATATTTACATCAACCCCCTCCAATAACGCAGGCCGTATTAAGGGGCCGTAGTAAGGGGCGCCGTCTGGAGAGGGTAGGTAAGTCCCGGAAACACATATTGATTAATAACATTGGTCTTTTGATCCGGTTTAAGAAGGCAAGAGCTCACCAGTTTATCTAAGTTATCGTTAAATTTTTTTAACCTTTCCTCATTTATCACTAGCTCTCTCGAGAACGTGCATCCTAAATATTTTATAGTATCATCTACTACGTCTCCGATAACATATAAACAGATCCTTATACCGAATAAGTAAAAAAAAAACTTTCATAATCCAAAACACAAAGGCATAACTTTTAAAATGGAGGTCATTTTCATAAACTACGTGACATATAAGTAAACACTTACATCGAATAAATTGGAAAAATTAAGTAAGTCGAAAGACAGTGACGTTATCTTAAAATAGAGGCCATTTTCAAAATCTACAGCTCCGGAAACATTAAAAGCAGACTTTTATCTAGAATAAATCAAAAAACATCAGGATTTAATTTTTTGGGGGAGGAGAGGGGGGCTTCAGCCCGAAAGCTTTTTTTTCATTTATATATAACGAAAATTAATTTAAAAAAAAAGATAAAGAAATTAACTACCCATATGAAATGGCGTTTAAGTGATTCTTGAAGTCCTATTAAATGTAATTAAACGAACAATAATACTTTAAGAGATAGTTTTTAATATTTTTTTCTATAAAATATGGTTATATTTTACCATTTTGGGGAAGAGGGTAGGGAGCTTCAGCCTGAAATGCTATTTCATTTTATTATCAATATATCAACCGTATCGTTATTTTCATTTATAGAAGTTATTATTTTATTGTAATTGTAAAATTGATTTCATTTTTTTTTTTATTATGTATAAATAGTGAAAAATAAATGTTTAATTGTTACAGTTCACTTTTTGTTATAATTTGTTTAATCAAATCGTAGTAAAGCTTCATTCATCAAACTTTAAAATTTAAAGCAAAAGGGAGCTTAACACAATGCATCTATATATATTTTTTTTTTGGGGATAAACAAAGTCTTACATGTAATTACATTAATAAATGGCAATGCTCTTCTTGTGATATATTTACATATTATCCAGCATTTTATAATGACAGATACAGCTTTCTTTTATTTAAGTAGAAACTTGGAGCTTATTTGTAAGAATTTAATTTATTTTCAAGTTTATTTATTATCAGCCATTTTACACCAATTTTCAAAATTTTGCCAACTTAATGACTACACATCTAATTACGATGTTTCGGCTCGTTGAGCCATTTTCAAGTCCAAAAATTTTGTTTACAATTAATAATAACAGTAAGCTCGAATTCTATGCATCCTGGAACGTGAAACCTCAAATTTTGAGAGGGGGTTAAGTTTTTGAATTTTTCCGTCGACCACAATGGTTGATTATTGAAAATAATAAATCAAAAAGGAAGAAACTTATTGGACATCTTAATATATATGATAGGACAAACCAATTGAATAGAATAACAGGAAGTTTAACAAACTGTGTTTGTGGGACCAGCACTCATTTTTATAATTGTTTTGATACTCCTAACAAGCTATGTCAAGCTTGGGGGAGGGGGAGAGGGGTATTCTAGAGATATGATCAAATCTATTATAACCAAAGTGGAAAGTTGGAGATTCATTCCCTGGGTTCACCAAAAACAAAGTTTAACCTGCCCAGATCTGATTCCAACCACTGTTATTAGACTCAAGAATGTTAAAATTTGCACTTTAACATGCTCCTCATCATGACCTCAATCATTGTTATAAAAAGGATCTAAATGGAGGGTGGGATTTGAAACAACCAACAAAAACTTCTTAACTATTACATCTCTTTACGTTCCCTTATGCCTAACAGTCCTATATCAGCTATCTAAGACTTCCTGGAGATTTTTTTAATGCTCCTTCAGGAGTGGGAAAAACATGCTCTATTGTCCAATAAAGGATTAATTATTTCATAATATTTAAGAATAGTTTTCTATCAATCTATATTTCCATTTATATTCTCTTTTATTTTACTGTTTATAATACCTAGTTCTGCCATAAATACTGTAACAAAAGTTGAACTTTGTTTACATTCTTGGGTATTATTTAGACAATCCTTACCTCTTTCAGGTTATTTTCCTTACATCTCAGGATAATAATCCCAATTAGTTTGTATTTTTCTTTCACTCAGTTAACATGGTGTGGGATGATAAAGAAAACTAAATAGCTGTGATCGTCTTACACCAAAGTTGGAAAATGTAGGTCAGAGATTTTCAACACTTTAAAACTTTTGGGTATCAGCTGTATGTTCGTGCACCTTGGTGAGAGTGGAAAAAGGTCATCACCTTTCCTCAGTGATCGTTTGGTGGGGAATTAGCTTTGACGGCACCACGAAGCTCCATTTTTGTGAAAAAGGAGTTTAAACAGCCACTAGAAACTATCAGGACGATATTTTAGAACCTGTTGTCAATCCTCTAAATGATACTCTGTTGCTAGAAGTCATTGGGTTTTCCAGCAGTGTTCCGCTCCAGCTCACAAAGCCAGGTCAACTCAGCAGTGGTTGCAAAAAAACATTCCAGAGTTCATCTCTACCTCGGATTGGCCCTCAGGAAGGCCCGATCTTAACCCACTAGATTATCAGCTTTGGTCCAAAGTGGAAAGGATGGCATGCCACAGAGCACATTTGAACTATGAAAGCCTCAAACAATCTCTGGTCCGAGCAGTTCAGCGTTTTTCTCAATAAGAGCTGCGTGCTGCTATTGATGACTGGCCACGGAGATTAATTGCCTTTGTTAAAGCAAAAGAGAGACATTTTGAGTAATTTCTTTGTTTTACTTTCTATAGATATACATTTTATTTTCTAATAAAGTTTTTGTAAAAATTAGTTTTTCTGTTGAAATCTGTATATATATTCTTGTAACAATATTTATGACATGCCTAGGTATATCTAAAATAAATTTGTACATTTCATCTGGTATCTAGTACTAATTTAAGATTAAATTTATTTTATTTTTGTACCTTGTACCAACTAATAGTAAATTTTAGCTCTGATGAAGACCTGCAACATCATAGGTTGAAGTATAGTCAGTCCAATAAAGGTTACTCTGACTGTTTACAACACATTCTCCCTCCCCATGATTAACTTCAAAACTTTTGACTATGATCATTTATTTCCGTACAGAGATGGTCAAAATCTAAATCAATGATCACATTATTAAAACTGAAAATAAAATTTAATGACCATTTTTATACTACATTGAATATGGCCAAAATGTGACACGATTACCTGATTACAATCATAATCGGTAACCAGATCACAGTCATGATGTTATCAAGAGCACTGTAATCATGATCAAGATTACTGTAATCGTAATAATGGATTATGATTATGCCCATCTATGTTTCCATACCATCATAAATATAATAAAGTAATGAGGGATTATTTATCTTTTCTAGTTCTTCCAAGGGGAGAAAATTAAGATAAATAAAGTAAAACATCATTTTCTAAGGATATAATTAATTCAACAATAAAAATCATCTACATCATTGCTATAACAGATACCAGAACTTCACATTGTTTCTACATTTTGGTATAAGTCGTTTATTTAGGTTTGATAGAAACTTTGAATTAATGTTATTAAATATGTATTTAGAATTGTTATTTTGTTCTGATATTTAAAAATTATCTATAATAACCAATAGATGTAAAATAACATATTAATATTTATTATTAAAATTATGCTTATTTTGAACCATCCTTAGTTGACAATAACAACTCTAATCCTTCAGTTGATTTGAGTTTGGGAATAATAAAAGAATATTTAATATAAATAATCTTAAATACTTTTTGAATACTTGAAGGTTGACCATTGTATATCATTGAGGAAGGAGATGGTCTCAGGTGGCAGTCATAAAAAGATTAAAGCAGAGAAAAAACTATTTTATTTTATTAACTATTTTAGTCTTTTTATGACCACCGCCCCAGACCATCCCCTTCCTCAATTAAATACATTTTTTTTTAGTTTAAAACAAATAACTTTAAACTGACCTTGCATTTCATTCACTTTTTTCTCAAGCTCAGCATAAGTCTCTTCTTCTTTGTATATCATAGCACCAAGTTTGTCTAACTGCTTGTCTATTTCTGAAATATCAGAAGTCATTACGGTGCCCTCAGAAGGCTTGTTTCCTTCAATCTCAGATTTTATATTATCATGAACAACTTCAATTGATAAATCACTTTCTTGAACTTCATCATCAACAAACGGTTTTTCAGGAGTATCTCCATGTTCACCATCATTTTCTTGTTCATTCTGCATTTTTGTTTATTTTTAAAATAATAATTATAAACTAATCAATCAATATAAGTCAAAAGAAATACAATTAACTATTTTTAAAATGAATACAGATGGAACAACCTAGAATTACAATGATATCACCATGACAACCATATTTGTGATTCATGTATAAAAAACACACAATTATTGATCAAATAACTGGAGGAAATTACAATAAAAAAAACCAGTTTATTTTTAAAAAAATATTAATATTAAAACATATTTTATAAATAATACTGTACAGTAATTTACAAATGCGAAATAATCATTAACTCAGCCATTTAATAATCCAGTAGTTCTTCTTGCCTGTAAAACAAACAATAATGATGAAGTAAAATACTTTGCCTAAAATAGTGGTAGTAATAAAAATGTATATTTGTAAAAATAAATATCTCATTAGATTCTTTAATTTGAAATTTTAAAAAAGAATTAATGGGATGAATAGATTTAACACTCTTTTATGTTATTATTTTAAAAATCCCTTTAAAAAAATACTTTTTAGTAAAAATCTCAATTACAGCATTAATAATCTAACCTAAATTTCAGAAACCCAATATTTATTATATTATATTATTATTATTATATTATATAGTATATTTATTATATACACCAAGTAACAGTGATATTTTATAGGAGCAATACATAATTTTTCATAAGGTTAACAATTGTTTACTAAATTGTATTATTATAGATAAGATGTTTTACCACAGATTATAATCAAAAATGGGTTGGTCAGGGAACAATCATATAAAAGATCATCTCCCCCTTTCAACCATTATTTTCTTTTTTGGTTTACATATTTTCAAATTTATACTTTACTATTGCATCTTTTAATATACAGTATACCTATAGAGGAATTTCAGTCACCTGAAATATCTGAACTTGTTAATGAAATGAGTTGACTTACTAAACAATTGAACACAGAATATTATCGAACAACTGAAACCTACATTTATGGTGCTAAAATTGTGTTAAGAATATACTTAAAGTTTGATAGCGTTGTAACAAAGATTCAAAATACTTATCACTTTAAAAATGTTTTCTACTCCAAAATACAAGCATTCTATACTAATATTTTAAAAATAAAATTATTGCTTAAGTATGGAGAATCCTCTAAATTCTAAATTGAACTGGCAGTGGTTGTGAAGATGAAAATGTTATGTGCCAATTTATTTAACATTTTTCATTTTAAACTTTTCGAATTTTATTGTTAGTTGTGTAAGATTCTTTAATTTTTTAAAATATAATTTTAGTTTACAATTTTAATTTTCATTTATTTAAAATTTGTATGTTCATCTTTTGTCAATTACCATGAAATATTATTTTTTTCATTTAAATATTATGAAAAATTTAAGCCTAAAAATGTTACCATTTTTTGAAAGAAATTGAGAAGATTAAAAGGATATTATGAGTTAATTTGTTATATTATTGCTTATTTTATAAATAATTATAATCTTTCGTTACTGATAAACTTATTATCATTTTCAATTCATATCAGTACTTTGTAACTTAATTGTTTAAGATAAAATCTAATCATCAAAAATCATGATTTGAATTATTTCATCCTAAATTTATACTTGGTCCTACAGAGACAAACAATTATCATTAAAATCATATTATTAATTAAAACCAAACATAGTGACAGACTATATACACACACATATATATATATATAAACAAAAGATACATAATTTCCCCAGTTATGCATCAATAAAACAATTAAACCAATTTTGAGGAAAAGTGAGTAATCACCTTAGTGATTGTGCTATTGTGATTCAGATATTGTCTATTATAATATCTGATTTTTCTTTCTTTATATTTTTATTTATATGATTTTGTATGAGCCTATTCAACACTTTTTTTCTGATAACTGATACTCACCTACTCTAAGAAGTGAAATTTTATTTGGGAGAATGTGTAAACCATTCACCAAGATTTCACTGGGATTTGTACTTCTTTGATGGTTTACATAAAAACCTCCTGCTTTTATAATCCTTTCTGCATCACCTTTCAAAGAGAGAAAAAAAAAAATATGAGTCTATTATAAAGGTTTCTATTAGATTTTAAAAAATTTATAAAAAAAAACTGAAATATTTTACTAACTTCATTTTTATGCTAAAATAAAAAAGGCAAGGCAGATTGATTTAGTTTTATAGAATGTCAAAGAACAATATTCATATGTCTGCACTTAATTCAATCTATGAGAATGTTGATACCTAACCTATAGGGTCTGATATCAATTTTATCAAGTTTCATCTACTTCTTTCACTTGGACATGCATACTTATATACTTAAAAAATGGCTTCTAGTATAGGTTTTATTCTCAAAAGACGAATCGTAGACTTTAAAATATAGGAAATTAGATAACCTATACATAAAAATGGTGAGAAAATTATACTGTTATTACATTAGATTTTTTTTTTTTTTAATAATTTCAGAAAGAAGAGTGACAAGAACTTCTAGAAACCTAAATATTATTTAATACAATCTGTACAAATACAAATTCGAATTAACTTATTTATGTTAATGTGAATTATTTAAGAATGTTTTTATCTTACTTTGAGAGAGAAAGCAGCGTGCAGCTAATGCAGCTTCTAACACTGTGATGCCTGGCCTAAGCAGAATTTCAACAAACTCAGCACCACGAAGTCCTGAAGTTAGATCTTCCGAACTTAAACCTAATAAATTAAAAAATATTATTTATCATAATATTGTATTTCTTAAATTGGTATATAATAAGGTTGATAGTATTCAATTTTAATTTATTTGATTGTGATTTATTTAAGTAAAATAATATTAAGTACTTAATATTAAGTACATATCAATTTAATCTACTTTAATAAACAATAAAAGCATAATTTTAAAATGAAGATATATTCTTAAAAGAAGAAAAACTGTACCTTATAATAAAAATGTTAATATAATATTATATAACTTTCTAATATTTACCTGCTAAAGCTTTAATATCTCTCGAATACAGAGCTTTAGTTGTATTTTTTGCACTTGCAAGACCTTCTTCTAAAAAATATATAATAAAACATAATCAATATATATAAATATCAACTCAAGATCACAGCTAATTAAAAAAAGGGAAAACATAAATAATTTTAAGATGGATAAGGAAAACCAGCATACATTATACATACCAAAACTATACAAATTAACTAATAAGAATAACTATGTTTTTCATAGTAAAAGAAAAAATCTGGTGCACGCAACACATAACTTTCAGATACCCCTCCTACTTTGAATAGAAATTATTTTCTGGCAATGTTGGGCTATTATAAAATTTTTGAAGTGCATTTTAAACGGAGCTGAAGCTAAAAGCTTACATATAATAAATCATTCAGACTATTAAAATCACAAAAAGTCTATTTATTCTATCGGCGGTAGGAAATAAAAATCTAGTTTTACAAACCACATAACTTCAGTCTCTGAGCCTTTCGGTTGTCAGAATGACTAACTACAATTTCAACATTTTTAAGTAATGTCATTTTAGTGATATTTCTAGTTGGAAAAGTTATGTCTATACAGACAGTGAGTAACTTGATTCCAGAGTAGGTGATTGCAGTGTTGAAATATAGAATTGTGACTAAAGATATAAATTTTGCAACTAGAAACATCACTAAAACTAATAATAAAGAATTTTGAAATTGGAGTCAGTCATTCTGTTACCCGAAAGGCTATTATATAGCTAAAGAGATTTGAAACTACATCTGAATATTTAACCTATAAATGATTATGGATTGTAAGACTATTAGCGATTATATGGTTAATTTCCATTGTAAAGTTTACTAAAATGAAATTACGAGATTTTCATTTCCTGCCATGGATAGATCAAAAGTTGTTCCACTAATTGTAAGTGGATAATGTTTACAACGATATATTATACGTATAGCTTCTGACTGTTATTTTCAGAGATTCATTTTCAACCTGGATAAGCATTTTTCTTTTTTTTCTCCAGTTTCCAATTATCATATTATTTCAAACTTCATATTTAGCTATTTTTTATAATTATTGTCATTAAAAGAGAGTTTATTTTTTTTTAAATAAACCATATTACAGGTTCTTTAGAGAAAGACATATATGAACATTGGGCATTTAAGCCCTGTAAAGTGACATCAATGGGGATAAGACTTAAATGATATTAAAGATCATTTAATTATACAATGATACACCGAGTTTAATCAAAATCGTTAGAGCCGTTTTTGAGAAAATTGTAAAAATGTGTTTCACCGTTGATATAAAGTGGCACTTCCGGTTAATCAATTTTAAGAAAAACATTGCTGTAACATCTAAGGTATATACCTATCTTAAATACGTAATATCATTTTCATACAACTTTTTGTTTTTGAGGTAAACTTCCCACATACATACACATACACACGCACATACGTAGTTTGACTCAGGAGACCTCATTTCATGATTTCATATATAAGTAAAAAATAAATCCTTTTATTAGCAGAATGTTCTATTTCAGTTTTCATTCTGTTGTGAGAAAACCAAACCACCAACGAAATTATTTGAAGAATCTAAACACAAAGGCTCGAGTCTCTACAACATTGATAAACAATTACCCAATCAACATTTGGGTGATTCAAGCACCATTACGATAAAAAACACACATAGATCAAATACAGCACATCTCACATCAACAGTCCAAAAAGATGACACCTAAACATATACTGAAGGAAAGGGAAGATAAAATAACAATAGGTGCATTTGGAATGTGATACACGGTGTATTTGTTCTGCATAGATGTCATCTTCTTTTTTTTTTCTGTACTGATGATGCATGAATTGGTGAAATGTTGAATGATTAAATCGTTTACGATAATTTTAGTTCCTTCCTTCCTAACTTCCTTCACCATAAAACTAAACAAGAACTAAAAAAAAAACCCTCAAAAAAGCATCTATTTTACCTCCGTGAACAAGAAGAGTAATTTTTTCTGCTACATATTTCTGGCCTTTTCTTAAGTCTGGCTCTTTCTGTGAACAAAAATGAGCAAATGATTGCAGGAGATTAAGAAATGTATTCGATAAATAAATAAAATGACATACAGACAAAAAAAAGTACTTTTAAAAAAAATATTTATTCATTTATCGTTGAGAAAGATTCTCTGATTATTATAAAAATTATATCAACATTCAGAAGGGTACAATTAGTATAATAGGATATAATTGCTACTGACAATACCTAATAAATAATTTTTGTCACAGCATTTTAATAAAACGAAAACAGTTGGTAAATGCTAATATTAAAACATTTTAAATATATATATGTACTTGTACACATTAAAGGGAGGTACCCCCTGTCCATCTAACTAATATATGGCTAGAGAGATTTAAAAGTACATCTGAATATTTAACCTATAAATGATTATGGATTGTAAGACTATTAGTGATTAAATGATTAATTTCCATTGTAAAGTTTACTAAAATGGAATTACAAGATTTTCATTTCCTGCCATGGATAGGTCAAAAGGTGTCCCACTAATTGTAAGTGGATAATGTTTCCAATGATATATTATACATATACCTTCTGACTGTTATTTTCAGAGATTCATTTTCAACCTGGATAAGCATTTTTCTTTTTTCTCCAGTTTCCAATTATCACATTCTTTCAAACTTCATATTTAGCCACTTTTTATAGTTACTGTCATTAAAAGAGAGTTATTTTTTTTAAATAAACCATATTACAGGTTCTTCAGAGAAAGACATATATGAACATTGGACATTTAAGCCCTGTAAAGTGACATCAATGGGGGATAAAACCTAAATGATATTAAAGACCACTTAATTGAACAATGATACACTGAGTTTAATCAAAATTGTTAGAGCCGTTTTTGAGAAAAATGTTTTTCACCATTGATATAAAGTGGCACTTCCAGTTAGCTGATTTTAAGGAAAAAGATGCAGCCACATCTAAGGCATATACCTATCTTAAATACGTAATATCAGTTTTGTACGACTTTTGGTTTTTGAGCTAGACTGTTCACAGACACACAGACCATTTTCAGGACTTGGTCATTTGGACCCAGGGGACCTCAAAATGTGTATTTCCTTTGAAAACTCAAGATTCAAAAATTTTCACGATCACAATACTCACCCTTACTATACATTACATATATAGGTAAGTGAAAGTAAAAACTTACCATATGTGAGGCTACCAAATCCTTTACCTCTCCAGCAGACAGAAAAGTAAGCAGAGATAATATTTCAGACACTTTAGAATCTGGTAGTCGCATAAAAAATTGGTATAACTCGAATGGTGAGGTCATGTTAGGATCTAACCAAACAGCATTACCTGCGGTTTTCCCAAATTTATCTCCAGACTCGGAAGTTATCAATGGTGCCACAACACCTATAAAAAAACATCAGATTGAAAATATAAATTACCAGAAGGAGGAATAATTGAAAAATCAGATAGTAATGTAAATGAATTTATAAGCTTTCCAAAAAAATTAACACTAATTAGCACAAAAGTATAACTTCATCAAGAGGTATAACTGCATATCTAGAATCTAATCTTTAAGGAGAATCGAAGATAAGTCAAAATAAAAAATATTAAAAATAAATAATTATATTTAATTTTATATTTGCCGACGTTTCGGCCAGAAGTTCAGGCCTTAGATCTTTCCACACTTCTTGGATTAAACAGTCCTGATGAAGGCCTGAACTTCGGCAAATATAAATATAAAAAAAAAATGAATGTTCTCGATCGCAATACTTACCCTTACTGTATACTATATATATACGTAAGTGAAAGTAAAAATTTTAAAATAGTAAAATAGACTTATCACAACAACCATCCTTCTCTTAAATTATTCACTACAATTAAGGAGAATCGCATGATCCAAGGGAAAATTTATAAAACTCAATTGAGATTTGAGTTTTTTTAAGGTTTTAAAATAGTATTTTTCAACTAAGTGCACTAGATTTTTCTAAAAAAAATGTTTATATTCAAAACTGATTTCAGATTTGCTATTAGCACCTAAAAATGTAGCAAATCAATACACAATGGATTATTATTTTCAAACAGTTATAATATGCTAAAGTAACGAACCATGTTAATGTTAAAGAAGAAATGTTAAAAATCATATTTATCAATTTCATTCATATACCACAGTAATCCATGCTCACCTTGTGGCAAAATGTTGAATCAGAATGGTGACCAGACGACCGGAATCAGTGATGTCATTTTAACGAATTCATAGCTTTGATACAAATTAGTTTAGCAAATAATCAAAAGTTCACATAGGAGAAAATTCAAAATCATTACTTTAACAAGGTGTCTACGATGTTGATGTTTAATACAAATTTCCTTGTCATATAGAGGAAAATAAATAAAAGGAGATTCCTAATAGCTAGGCCTAAATAATTTTTTCATCATTAGTAATTTTCTAAGAAATATAGACACAATCCCAATTGCAGCAGGTGATATGTTACTCTCCAAAAATAAAAACAAAGGATATCAGCTTTGCAGCAGAATGTGTGGAAAATATTTAGAACATATCTATGCACCAAATCGTCCAATTTCAATGATTTTCTTTTTTTCTACAGAAATTCCATAAACTTATAATTACCATCTTTGAAACACCTCATTAAAATAACCAGAAAAAGTGTATACTTTTTGTGTTATTCGAAAATCTAATTTTATCACCCCTTTTAACTTGTTTTCCAGCTTCTTTTTAGTGAAGTATGTTATATAGAAAAATTTAAAGGGGCAGAGGACACTAGCCAAGTTTCATCGAAATTGGTACATTTGTTTAGGCACTACCGCAGCGACACAGGTTTTTTCGCTGCCATCTTACGGAAAGGGCAGATGATAATGCAGAGTTCCAAGGATCATCCTAAGGTACACTTTGACATTCATATTGAATCTCAAAACAATTGATCCAGTAGTCTCAGAGAAAAGTCATGGATAGATGGATTTTTCATAATTCAATTTCCAGATTTTAGATATCTTGAAATGTAAAACCTCAAATTTTGAGGAGAGTTAACATTTTTTTTCTTGGTTGATTATTGAAAATTATAAACCAAAAATCCTTATATTTAATTTTCCAGGCTTGAAATGTAACTGTAATATTAGTAAAATAATACAAATAGGTCCCATTTATTGCATATTCTTAAAATTGAATGCAGGCATAGGTTAAAGGCACTTAATTTAACAAAAAGGCTAAAGAATGAGCTAGGTATATCCAAAATTCCAACTTATATGACAAGAAAATTCAACAGATATATCTAAACAATAGATATATCTAAAGAACATCTATCTATTGGGCTTAGAGATGGGTAAGTGTAACTTGAAAACGTAGAAGTTATATTTTTATGAAAAAACAAAAAAGAATTATTAATAAAACAATAAAATTACCATAAACAGATTTTCTTGTTACTCTTGTAATTAATTCATGACCAGTCATTATGTTTCCTATTTGATCACTTCCTCCAATCTAAAAAAATTGCAAATGAAGCTCATGTGAGACAGAGTAAAGATGATTGGTGTTTTGTTTAATCCTAAGTTTTAATTTTTTATTTGTAAATTAGTTAAACATACAAACATTAAATTTTATTAATTATGCTGACATAAAAAAGTTTAATGAATAAGATAAGTATTCTCATGTGGTGGAAAGCAGAAAAACCTACCCTACCACAAACAAGTAAGAAGGTCATATAAATTTGTAAATTCATTGGCGCTCGATGGAAATGCAAATGTATATTTTGCTGAAAGAGATATAACTCGCAAACATAAGAAAATTGGCTACGGGTTGATTTAGAAGTGAGTGAGAGGGAGGCTGGTAAATTTACCAGGCCCCGTTTGCCTGAAACTGATGCTTTAGCCCTGTTTAAGGAGATATAACTTATTCCAAAAAATTAATACTGGTACTGGTAATCTATTTTTAACTAACTAGATAACAAAAGATAATAACTAGAGAGCGGATTTTCATGTTATTGTACATTTTATTCGCTTCCATGTAAAAACTTCCAACTCGATCCTCTATCAATCTATATGTTTCCCGATCTGTAGAATAACATAATCAAATTTGATACTGCATGTTTTATTGTTTTTAACCTAAATTTCATGATTTCGATTTTTGTTACATCAAAATGCACATTTTTGCACTAGATTAGATGATTTATAAATTCAAATATATATTGTGTTCAAATATTTTTATTTATATTTTACCATCTTGTCCATAGTAAATTTATAATTTAAGATAAAAAAATATGTAAATAGTTCTGTGACTAGAAACGGTTGGAATTTCACATTACAAAAAAAAAATCTGGTGTGTCCACTCACACGATTTTCCTAATTATTCCAGAACAGTTTTTATATCTTTAAATATATCCATTAAGAAACTAGAAAAAAAATTTAATTAGATTTATTCTCCTGAAAATTGATCAAAGAAAAGATTTGAAGTACCATTTCATTGATAAATCAAAGCAATGTAAACCAGCTTGTGGAAGATCAGCATAAAAAATTCAATACACTCTAATATTGTTAATCAAAAACTTTTTTACCTTAGCCCAATTTGGTCAAACAATAATTTCTGTTAAAAGTCGAGAGAAAACTTGAGTGATGCAGGCAACAGATTTTCTTACCTTAACTTACTTTTTTTTTTCTATCATTCACCATTTAGACCTGAATAGCTGTAAATTCGTTAATAGTTGTCTGAAATGAACAATTTTTATATAATTTTGTAGGAATTTCGCTACCTTTCCAAAAACAGGCCAAACAGTAATTTTTGGAATCAGGAAGCTCTGAAATGTATAGATCCGTCGAAAACTGCCTGTCAAAACTTTGACTCGATCGCAATACTTTCCTTACCTAGTATAGGTAGGAAAGTAATAAATTAAAACATGGGTAGAAAATAAAATTTGCTTTATTATCGCTAATACTGGTTCGATTCCAATGATTTTTTTTGTTTGTTTTGTAGGTAATTTAATACCTTTTAAAAGTTTTCATATAAATTTTACCATAGAATACATATTTAGTGAGTTAGGCCCCTAAACATTTTTCTTTTCTTTATAACTTTTTTTCTTGTATTTTTTCGAGAATTTAGTGCAAAAATTGAAAGGACATTAGTTAGACAATTATCGGAAAGTTTCACCAAAATCGTTATAGCTGTTTTAGTGCTACAGTCTAGAAAAAAATATGCTTTCCAATTATTGTGCAGCTGCTACTGTTGCACATGGAGCACCCTATTTGTGTCACAGGCATCAGTAGTAAAAACCCACAAAATAAAAAAAGAAGCAACAAAAGCGGTCCACTAGTTTCCGAGATAATCTTGGTATATACAGACAGACCAATAGCTGAAAATGTGTTTTTCGGACTCAGGGGGCTCTGAAACATATAGATCAGTTGAAAACCATGTCGGAAATTTGACCCGATCGCAATACTTTCCTTACCTAGTATAGTTAGGAAAGTAATAAGTAAACACAAGTTGGAAATATTCTTGGAATAGAACTTACCAATAAAAAAATTTCTTCCTATAATATATTGTTTTGCTAGAAAGACTTTCACTGTTATTGGTTTGACTTGAATTCTCACTTATTCCTCAGTCTCTTCTGTATCTCTTCAGGCTTTGAAGTGAATTTTAATAATTCTATTATTATTAATAAAAACATTGAATAATGCTGAAAATAGAATCTAGTCCCTCACCAAAAATAGTCTAGATACCATATTTCCACCGAGTTGAAATTTTATGGGAAAGTCTTCTGTGAAATGTTCTCTGAAAATTCAATCGGGTTTTATAAGAAACAAAATATAAACACTCATTGTAGAACAGGTAAGAAAAAATATTTCTATTGAATGTATTTTTTTTTTTTAAAGAGCATAGGTAACTCCCAGAAATAACAGCATAAACACTAATGCTAACAATATAAATGTTCTGGATGCAAGAAAATCTAAAGTATTATAATGTATTCCTCAAAAATCTTAGGAATTTCATTTTCAATGTTGCATTTTAATTTTTTTTCTCATCACATATAATTTTACTTCAGAGGCACAAAATATATAATAATATAATATAATAAATTAAACAAAATAGATGATTTTTGCACATTTTAATTTTTAATTACACAATTTTACATATTTTGGGGTTTAGACTGTACAATTTTGCACATTATAAGTTTTTGATGCACGTTTTTCAGATTTTTACTGCACGAAGATCCGCTCTCTAATAATAACTATGAAGAGTACTTGTGAACGGTCTGGTCCCCAATAAACCTCCCTTCTTATCTTATGTTACGTCACATAACCTGCCTATTTATTTCGTGACTTGTAAGATAAACATATCTATAAGGAAAGGAACGTGGTTATAGGGGTCGAAGATTACCTTTTCGACTGCTTTTAAAATTAATTTATGTGTCGTCTCATAATCTGACAACAATATAGTCGGGCAAAGAGCAAATGGAACTATCGAACAGATGTAAATTTTTAAAAGAGGTTTGTGCCCATTAACATGCAGGTCAACTAAGAAAATTGGAGGGCCTGGGAAAGTTGTTGAAGTAGACAAGTCTTTTTTCTAAACGAAAAAATCATGTAGGGAGAGTTCTTCCTGAACAATGGATATTTGGCAGAGTTTGTCGAGAAACAAACGAGTGTTTCATCATAAAAATAAAGGACCGAAAGGCAAGAACTTTATTAGAATGTACTAAAAATAATATAGAAGAGGGAAGCACCATTAATTCTGATTGTTGGAAAGGATACAACACCCAACAATTGAATGAAGCAAAATATCATCATTTGCAGGTGAATAACCGGTATAACTTCGTTGATCCATCAATTGGGGTCCATACTCAACATATAAACATTTATGGGGCTCAGCTAAGTGGAGAAATAAGAAACATCGAGGAACTGCGAAGCAACACCTCGATTCATATTTATGTGAATTTTTGTGGCGGCGGGCTCACAGAGAAGAGGACCTCCAAAATAAAGTATGAACATATATATGCTTTGTATGCATAAAATAAAAGTGTTTTGTTATTTATATTTCTTATTATTAAATTATAATATTATTATTACATTTATATTTCTTATTAATATATTTCTTCTTGTTATATTATTATATTTGTGTTTGTCTGTACCAATTTCAAATCAAAGTGTTTTGTTATTCTTACATTTCTTTTGTCTATTTCAACTTTGATAAATATGACATTTTTTTTTGTCTATTTCATATATATTTTGTAAAATCAAAGTGTTTTGTTATTCTTACATTTCTTTTGTCTATTTCAACTTTGATAAATATGACATTTTTTTTTGTATATTTCATATATATTTTGTAAAATAAAAGTGTTTTGTTATTATTATATTTGTTTTGGTGTTTTTGAATTTCATAGAAAGATATGGATTATCAGAATTATCAGTGTTCAGGTTAAAAACATTGGCAGGTAGCAGTCCATGGGGGCCAGACTGTTCACAAGTACCCTATGAAGTTTAACTTTCTATGATGACTGAGAATATAAGAACCCAAATTTCTATATATAAGATAAATTCTATAGATTTCATAGGTATGATAAAGGACTTGGTTAAATTTGGAAATAATCCTCTATATTTACCTGAATTCTACAATTATATTTGTTCAAAAGATGTAACCAATCATATGCCTGGAATACTTGATATGAAAACTCTGTAAAACTGATTCCCTGTTCTGATTGAAGCCTCGAAGCCACACTAGTTCTAGATAGCATTTGTCCCAGCCTTAAGTGGCGTCCTATTCCACAGATGAAGTCAACACAACTCAATGATTTATACCACTCAGCATTGTTCACTAAACTGACAATTAAAATCAATAAACCTACTACTAAATAAAAAAAACACGTTAACTAACTATAAGTTAATAAACACTAAAATTCACCTGTTATATTTATAATATTTATCTGTTGGCTTATTTTTAAAGATATTTTTCTCTTATTACCATATTTTTTACTTTCAAGTAAAAAAATTAATGAAGTTGTTTATTTCTATTATTTTATGGAGTTATAGTACTTAATTTTTTTTGGAAACAATCTTTTTTTACTTTACCACCTTTTTCAGTTTGAGGTGTAAAAAATAAGTTCCAGTTTTTTTAAAGTCAAAATTGTGGATTGAAAGAACGAAGTGTCCAGATGGAATACCACTTTTTAAGTCATGTTACGTAGATGACTTAGGATCCATCTAACAAGAGTAGATTACGGGGAGACGTGGGATTAGCACTTTCAATGAATCTGTTTTAGGTGAAACTAGGTCGAAAAAAATAATATTTTACATGTCTTATATTTATTTATTTTATAATATTTTATATTTATAATTATAAAATTTTATATCTAAGATCCATGTCCGAGTTCTTGCTGCATCCCAGGAGCTGAGAAAAAATATATAAATTTGTATTTAATAGTTTTAAAGAACACTATAAATGAATCTAACTTTCTTTGTCTTAATCAAACATTTACTTGGTATACTTACTGGAAGTTCCTTTTGATTTTTATTAATTAAGATACTTTATAATTATTTAATACCATAGCAAATATTTTTATCTTATTTCACATTAAAAATGAAATTGATTGATGTATAACATAAATATCTACACAAAACAAATGAAAAATTTAAAAACATAAGTTTTGTTTAAAATTATATAATTTTTTTTTAAGCTCCTAAGGGACATTGGCAAGAACCCTCAGAGATGGATTTAATATTTTTTGACCTAGTTTCACCAAAAAAAAAGTTTCATTGAAATTGGTGACCCCATCTTCCTCTTGTAAAACAAAGTAATAAAAATGAAATATTAAAATTAATCCTGAATATTAAATAAAAAAAAAGAATCATTTACTTGTTAAAATTGTATGAATTTTCAAGATTTATAAAAATGTTTCACTAACTGACAAAAGGAGGCTACATAGAGTAATGGATTTAAACGAAACTTTTTTTCAAACTTTGTAAATATCAATAACAACATTCTCATTTTTTACCAAGGTACCATTGTTGGGCTAAAAAATTTGTGGCACTCTATAGGATTGTAACAAAGTTATGTTTAGTGTTACTATATAGTAGAACAGTTACTCATTTTTGGTAGAATATAAATGTATAACATACACATAATTTTGAGAAAAAGAATTTAATAAACTGTCTTAAATGTAAGAGGATCCATTACTTAATAGGTTTGAGAAAACTACTGAATATTTAAGAGAACCTACCCTAAAATAAGGATATAGAAAATTTCTTAGTAATAAAAAATTAAACTATTGGAAACAATTATGGTGGTCTAAGGTTAGAGTAAGCAGAGATATAATAAATATTTATTAAAGTAATAATTAATATGAATACAAAAATAGAGAAATAAATAGCTATTTACCCCCCCAAAAAAAAAAAAAAAATCTGTTACACCCTTTACATTCTAGGATTAATAATAATATTAGTGTTTGCAGGTGATTTAAGAAAATAAATAAATATGAGTGTGTATCAGTAAATGAGTGATGTTTTAGCTATGGGACCCACTTGAACAGCTCTGTTCTGGCTTGCTTTAAAATGGAAATTTAACTGAATAGGTAGTAATGAAATGAAATGAAATAAATAGGTAGTAAGACCGCACACTAGACTGCACCGCCCTGACCCGTATTTTTCACATTAAGGCAGCTTTTTACCAGGGACAGTCCAAGTGGATTCCTTACTTTAATATAACACTTTTAATATACTAACCTGACAGGCACTAAAGGAGTATTTTCATGCCAAAAATACTTCTTATGATTTTCAAATATTTTAAGTATTATATTTGAAATATAATTTACATTTTCTTTAACAATTTCTTCTTTCTGTTCCTCTCTTTCTTTATTCTTACCACTCGGATCACCTATTCTTCCCGTTGCTCCTCCAATCTGTTATGAAATATAATCCATTACAAGGACTCAAATTTTTATTGGTAATTCCAATTTATCCAAATTACAAGGAAATTTTTAATTATATTAGAAGAACTGATTAAGAAGTAAGATACAGATCAGTTAGCGATCAAAAAAGAAACCTCAAATTATAAAAACAATTTATTGCACTCAACTTTAGTCATTGATAGAACGCCTTGATCATCTACAACACAATACAATAACATATACTTACTGCAACAAATATATACGTTTAACTAGAATTTACTAGTCAAGTAAAATTATTTCATAAAAGCTCTGTGAATGAAAAAATTGACAACTTTATTCATCTCAAAGTTCAATAGGATATTAGATTAAATTATTCTTACAACATAGCAGGAAAACATTTACACTAACAAAAGGTTGCTCAAAGAACTGTGTTGTTGCACTCACGGCTAAAGGCTAGAAGAAATGGTGTAACACACCAAACCGACTTCAACTTAAAATAGTTCTTGCACTCTAAATGTTGGTCCATATAACAACTTTCTATTGTTTTTTTTTTGTGTGAAAGAGCATTTTTTCCCTAGTTCTTTCATTTTAAATACTAGTTATAAAATAGAAAAAATATTATTCAATTTCCGAAAAAGTATTAAAGAGATAAATGTAAGTTCTATTGCTTACCAAAAAAAATTGTCATCGGTATGAATATAAAAAATCTAAATAGGCAACATAAAACATACTTTACAGGGAAAAAAAGGTATCATTGGTTACATCAAAAAGCAATATTGACAGTATGGTGTAAACCACCATTACCTTGGGTATAGACGAGTCATTCCTCTTTGGAGAAACAATTTTAATTCTTTAGAAAAGCTATTTTTTTAAAATAACATGAATATCTGGAGAATTACTGCCCTAAGTTAAAAGATCTCACCAAGAAAAACAGTTTGATTAAAATCAGATAAGAATTGATAAAACACTACCAATGCAATAACATGATGTCCTCCACGATGCCAATGCAAAAGATTAGCTAATATCAGCAGGTTGCCCACATGAAGACTTCTCGCAGTTGGATCGAAACCTGCATAAACAGTTTGTGGAGCACCATTACATAGATCTATTATTTCATGACTGAAACAATGAGGCAGAAAAATAATAGAAAGATAATATTTGGTAATAGTTGGTTTGATATTAATTCATTTATATAGACAAAAGTGTTCTACAATTGTACTGTATTTTCCGTTAATAATAAATATATGGTAATATGATTGTGTAAATATTTACCTTTTTATATTACTACATTGTCCATATTAAATTTATAATTTAAGATAGAATAATTTAAGGAAAGTAAATAATTCTTTGATAATCTAATTTAATGTTAAAACAGGAAAAAGTAAACACAAGCAGAGAATATCTTGGAATAGAACTTGCCTAACATATTGGATAATAATAAAAAAATGCCTTCCTAGAATGAGCTGTTTTGTTAGAAATACATTTATTAATATTTTGGCAAAAATATTAAAAATATTTGCTATAACGGTAGAATAACAATAAAATTTGGATGTAATAGTACTGAGCATCACAACAATTGAAACAATTGTCCATTAGAAATGTATTACTGATTTTTTAAAAAATTAGTTAGCTCGTGATGTAGAACCCTATAGTTTGCACGTACTAATTATTTTTAGATTACTGATTCTTTTGGAAAACTGTAGGGAATAACAGATTATGGACTGGATTTTAAAGCATTTTTCTGAGTGTGGAAATAAATAATAATTTTAAAGAAAGGTTCAACGATAGGCAATTGTTTAGTAATAATTTACCAATGCAAATACTCATCAACATGTTTCTGATTGTTATAGCCAATTGCTATTCTCTTATTTTTATTATAAAATGTAATTAACGCTGTTGAAATTATATTTGATCACAAACAAATATATAATAAAGTAACAGATGGTTAAAATGTTACATGCTGGTTAAAAGCGAGGAAAACTCCTTGGACGGGAATATCAGTGGGTATCCAGAGGGTGCCTGGATACATCTCTCTTCCTTCATGCTCTTACTTTATCGGAAAATAAAACTAAATACATTGCTTAAACTAAAATAATGTAAGTTGTCTTTAGATAGTTTAAAATATACCATCCCTGTAAATACTACATAAATACAAAACCACCATAAGATCGATTCAGTCCATTTTTTTTTTAAGTTATTATTCTTATCTAATTTGTTAACCAGAAACACTTTGTAATGGACTCATGATAAACATGAAACAGGTTTATAAAAATAGTTTAAATTTAACATGGGTAAAACTACAAGGCACAGTTAATAAACAACAGTATTAAAATTGTTGAAATAAATAAATCATTTTTTATGCAGCCCTGTTAGACAAACAAACCCTGAATACTTTACACTATAACTATAAAGAAATTCAATGCACATATACAATAACAAAAATAGATAAAAAATACATAAATTATAAACTAAATCAAAACAAAATAGGTAAGCAATATATGTTTCTTCTGGGCATAATATTTAAAATTCAAAACTTACGCAGAATTACTGGGAAAAATGTCATGGAACAGACCTTTGTCCTGATATTTTAACACGTTTCTCGAAGAATGTTTTCGGCGCATTAAAAAAATGTTTCTCCTGACAGATAAACAGCGATAAAATTGAACAATCATAATTAAAAATTATTGCTCAATCTCTATTTAAAACAAAAATGTTAATAATTTCTAATTCAAAATCATCTCCAAGAAGAAAATGCCAATCGGAAACGATTCAGTCTGCTTATCAAAAAACTTAGCACTAATTTTATTACATTGAAGCTCCGAAAGAAGTTCTAAGTGTAAAATTGTGGCCAAAAATTTCGTTCTCTCAAGATATTGTTTCACGAAGGTCCCTTTACAACATTAGTCATATGTCGTCACCAAATATAAGTTTTTGGCATCTTCTTCTGTTCTGCCAGTCTTCTTCAAGCATGGCCCTGTTCATCATTTTTAAAGGACACTGCCTTACTCCAATACATTGCCTATCTCGAGATGTATATACATTTTTAGTCAAGATATTGATATTTAAAAAAAAACTATCAATTTAAAAATGGTTAAATAAATAGAAGTAGCTCAATATGTCTATCACGGACCCTACACGGTCATTCGGAATGACATTAAAGAGGCGCTATTGACATTTTATATATTTGGATGGAAGTGACTTTTAAGTTCATTTAAAGGGGGAAAAACGGAAGAACCTGAAAAAATGGAAATAAAAAACTCTGATTGCTATATAATCGGAATAAAGCTGGACGATAGACGATAGTATTTCACAATCGTTAGTTCGATAGTAACGATGAAAAACAATATATAGTTACGATAATTTAGTAAGTGTCCGCTACAGACTTAAGACGGATATATTTTCGTAGTATTTTATTTATATACTTTAAATTGCTCCGTAAGCTTTATAACGAAAATTGATATTTAAGTTGGATACATTCTTGAATATCCGATGGAAAATAAGATTTAACCACAACAAATCTCTCCATATCGCATTTTCTCATCGACGCGAGACCCGACCACCATTCTATCTTGATAATCAACACATCGCTCATTCTCATAAGTTACATTATCAAGAGTTATGGAAACAAACTATGCTGACTTGACATTATGAGCAGCCTATCTCTCCTCTACCTATATATATCCCCATAAAATTCTAGGCTTGTCAGATCTGTAGCAGTAGTACTTAGCATATCTTAATGTTCATTGTTTGATTTGTTTACTCAATTAAGTTTTTTTTTAACTTTTGACTGAAGGATGACATGAGATACACACATGATAACAAAACGGAAGACTCTGAATCAAAGATTCAGTCTACTGCAATCTCTGCTAGGAAGCTGTTCAAAACTAGATCTAAGACAAAAACTTAACTTATCAAAAATTTAAATATACACATCTACTTAAACCAATTTGTACATATTCCTCACAAATATGCGGAATCGCCAAAAAATCACATACAAAAACGGCAAATATTTCAATCCGAAATGTTTAGAACAATCACACAAGCTCCTTGGTATGTCAGTACTCCACAAATATTTACAAATGCCAACTGTCAACGAACCTACTAAAAAAGGTTTCACCAAAAGCTTCAAGGTCACCACAATAGACTAATTCATCGCATAGCCAAGAAAAACATGCTCAATCACATCCAAAGAAGGCTGAGGAGGAGATAGATGACAGATCTCCTTGAGTAAGAAGATACAGGACCGAAGATAAGCCAATGGTTCTCTTCCTCATACCTATCATTCCATATCATCATCATACCCATGTTTATTCCATAGTACTTGATTACTGTAATCACATTCGCTGGTTGTCGGTGAACACTGATAGTTGTGAATTAAGCAATAAAGCAAAATAAATAAATAAACAAAGCTGGGATAAAATACCCAACTAGTGGCCGTTTACAGAACTTCTGGATATACTGGTGTACTCCGTATCCCCAGGGAAGTCCCATCAGCTCAGCTCTGTCCAGTATTTCTGAATTATCCTTACCATCTCTAACTCAGAGGTCATTATCTAGATTTGGAGTAGCTATGGAGTGTCATTTTAGTGATAATACGTGTGTTGAAGAAACTTGCGTGGAAGAACTTTTAGAAGTTTCATGATGTGCTGATGTCTACTTAAGAATTTTCATTAAAAATTACGAAGGAATTCCGGTTATGAAAGAAATCGGATAAAAATTATTGAATGAAGTTAGTCGACTGTTCTACATATCATAGGTGCTTAATAGTAAGGACGTAGTCATTTTTAAGGTTTTTGTTTTTAAGTGTCATCATCAGGAAGTGTTTCGAGCACTGAAAGTGTTCAAATAGTGATACTTACATAGGTAAGTGAACATTGGAACCAATGAAAACCTTTAAAAGGACTGCCTCCGGACTATTTATCTCCAAGGATAAAAACTACATTAATAAGCGCTGAACGACTTTAGAAAAGTTGTTTTGTGTTTATAAACAAATTAAGTCATAAGCGTCCATTAAGGATGGTTAAAAAAGAAGAAAAAACACCTTCAGATCAAATTACTGGAGAGAACTAAACAAAATTAAATCTTCCATGAAATGTGGGTGTAGACAGGATGAAGTGTACAAACCAACGTCCTGGATTTTGCATTATCTTAAATTTTAAGAGAATTCCGAAAGCCGAAATAAAATGCTAGAATATAATCAGTTATTTTTATGACATCATTGCCAAGGGATACCGAAGTCCAACACTGATATCGTCGACTAGAAATAGCACAGAGAGGAAGTGATCCTTATGCGCCTAGGAATAGGTCAAACAAGCCTGAACTATGGATACGTTATGACCTGAAATTCTTTGCCTTCATGTTAGATTTGTGAAACTCCACTTATCTAAGACTCGTTTTAACAAATTATTGAGCACATGAATGAATTTGAGCTTCTTGGAGCCTGTCGAATGATCTCCAGGCCGTTTTGCAGGAAAATACACATATGATTAATAAACGCTTGATTTGCTTGAACGTTGAAACCTACATAATTTAACTCAACTATTTATGATATTGAGGCGGTAAGGACAAGTGTGGTTGATGTCTTTAAAATTGGAGGAAAAAAATGAAATAATCTACAACTGGTTATTTTCCAATAACCGCCATCCCTTGATTGACCGGTCACGAAACAGAACGAAGAGTTGTTGCAGTGATGGAATGATTAGAACAGTTTTGCTGACTCCCTTCTCCTCAAATATTCAAAAAACCCTAAAAGTTTACCCCTCCAAATAGTTTTGATGATGCATTTTGCAACATGGCACTCTGTCACTTATAATACGAATAGACTTTTAATTATTTCAAATTGACCAAATCAAAGATAAATTTGAGGAAGACATTTTTAAGACGGTCTATTTATCAGGAAGAGACTTAGCTAGTAGGTAGGTGTTTGTTTTTTTAGTTGTACATTGGTATAGAAAGTTTAATAAAAATTCCAAGAACCGTTTTCCAGAAAATTGTAAACAGTTTAAAGTCGAAAATCTGTAGTAATACTTACGATACGCCGAATTTAACTAAAAAGGATACTGTAATATGCCAGGCATATACATACTTCGTTATTTGGAACTTGGAATATTTATTTTCCTTGAAAACTCAGATTTAAAATTATTGACGATTGCAATACTCCGAATTACGATATAATTTTAAAGAAGACTTACGATATAGAGAAAGTTATGTTTGGAAGGAAGATGAGATCAATATGCGCATCTGTTACCGTGGCTAATCAACTACTATTAGAAGAGGATCCTCATAATAATCAAGATTACGCTACTCTGCGATCACACTTGAACTCCATTATTTACCATCTGCGACATACTCTGGGCTGAGAGTATGACTTTTCATGACTACCGTCATCTACCTTAGAACCAGGATAATGATTAGAGAATCTATAATCGTTATCACAGAGCTTTGGTGGCTGGAGAAACGTTGAGTTCGACACTTACTATGGAGGAGGAAGGGTGCCTCTTATTGTGACAAAATCATAATAAGTCCATTGTCAGAGGCCTTCAATTGGACAAGTGGTAACTAACTCCCCACTATAGCTGGAAGCATTTGTGAGGGTGAAATAAATCTCCAATTAAGAAAACGAGAGATTTAAAACAAGGAAGAATAAAAAAGGTACTTGTTGAAAAAATAGACAATAAATGCGAAGCCGCTTAGAGTCTCTACAGAATATTTATCAATATTTTAAATGTGGTGAAGTAATGCAGGAGAAAATGTACTCAAATCTCCTATAATTGCTTTGGTAAACAAGAAGCAGATTTATTCAGAAATAAAACCAGCAAGGAACACATCTTTCATAAAATGTATATGAATAGCATTATAAAAATATAATTATGGTAGTATTACTTAAGCGCAACATAATCAATTTTGTTTTGAGTTGTTTATCCATGGTTAATAAAAATTTTTTGTTGGTAACACTACTAATCCCAGGTGGCCGTGTAATTATCATAGTAGCAGTGGACTTTCCCAGTTGTCGTCGTTTGGGTTATTGGATTTTGGCTGTGTCTTTTCGTTTGGACTCTTCTGCAATTAGAAGTGAAATATGACTGCCCACGATCAGATGAGGGCAATGCTAGACCAGTTGATGGGGACTGGCAGAAATGGTTAGTAGTATTTTTATTTTGTATACTTGTCACTTTAATTTAGTCATATAGAGTAATCCATTGATCAATATGGCGGTAGGTAGTAATTTTATATTACAGATCTCTTCTAATAATTATCCTATTTCTAGGAGAAAACAACCGTTACCAAGTCAAGTTCTCAGATACCAAAGTGTGCAAAAGTTTTTTACTTGGTTGCTGCCCTCATGAAATCCTATCATCCACGGTTAGTCTTATCTTAATTATTTTAGTGTAATTATACCTTTTAAAGTTCAGTATCTATATCTTATTTCAAAGAATTAGTTTGTCTGAAATTGGATAGTGCTAATGGCTTTTAATTTCTGTTTATACTAGGCAGTTTATGTTGTGTAATGATGTGTAGATTTTGAGTTCTGAGGTAATTTTTTAATATTTATTCTTGTTAAGAACATATTTTAAGTTTTTACAGTCTATATTATCAATCTGTGTAAGCCAATTGGAATATTGACCTCTGTTTTAAGACATTATTTGGAATGACTTCTTAATTTTCTTGGAAATCATTTAATGTTGACCATAATTTTGGACGTATCATTTTTTTTTTTTTTTTTTTTAATATCTTTTATGAACTCTTGCTCATTCTTGTTCCATATTTCTTTTTCAGAGGAATACCCCAAATTACGATTTTTGTTAATATTTTTGTTGGTGGCCTTCCGTGATATTAATTTTATTTCAGTCTTGATCTGGCTTCCTCCAATGACATACCTGATATCTTTTTTCTGAAGAATAATCAGTGTGAATTTGATATTTTATAGGTGTCCTGTAGTATTAATGAAGAAAAGAAATAGAAGACGAATAAAAGTTCAAAAGTGGATAGGTATAGGTTTTTAGAGAAACATCCTAGTTACAGACATGGGAAACTAATTGGTGAGGACTTAAACAATTTTCAGTATTATTAATAAAGCGAATAAGCAGTATGGCAGGTACCAAATTCATATGTTAAAATTCATCTATTACCAGAACTTATTTGGTAGCTGCTACCCTGTAAGGCTTTACTGAAATTTCACTGTTTAGTCTAGGGGTCTCCAAATTTTCTGGAGTAGAATATACATAAAAAAATTGTTCTCAGTGAACACATCGCACAACTTACATTTACCATTCGACTTAAATAATTAAATGTCTGTTCAAATAGAGTTGATTATATACACATATTCTGAGTAATCATAGTTTGTGATGTTAAAGAACCTTTAAATGTATGAAATAAAAAAATTCTGTATTAATCTGAGAAAAAATTCCTTATATGTAAAATTCACATTGTGGCTAGGACAGTGTGGCATGACTTATTGACATTAATAAAAATTAATTGAAAAAAAATAGCATAAATGAAAATATATTAATAGAAATAAAATAAAATATTTGTGTATTGATGGTTGACTGTAGTGAATAATTAAAGAAAATAACGGTTGGGATGATAGTCAAAAAAGAAAAGTTAATATAAATAATTATATTTATTTTTATTTTAGCTGACATTCTGGCCCAAAGTTTAGGCCTTCGTCAGGGCTGGTCGAAGTCTGAGAGTTCTATATGTAAAGATGTTTCCAAGTTCATAGATATCTAATCTATAAATAAGTAAGATTGGTACTAAATAGTAAAATCTATTGGAACTCAATCTAGAACATCCAACATTTTATTTAACAACCAGCTCCTGCTGTAAAATTTAACAAAATGGAATTGTGAGGTTTTCATTGCCTACTGTTAATATATTGTTTTTTCATTAATTTCATTCTGTAAGAATCACTCATTGTGCTCCAACTGCTTCATCAATGTTTGAAGTGTTGTTTACTATATTTATTTTTTGAGGTTAGTTAATTCATTAGATAATTTTAAATTATTCCTTTCATTCTTAATTGTTGATGTAAGTTTAAAGCTTTGGTGGAGTGTAAGAAAACTTTCTTTTGCCATTATCTGAAAGCTCTATAATTGTTAATCAATGTTTATGACCTTTCATTACTGCTTAACTACTTTCTGATCTGTTTAAAAAAAATATATTGAAATCTTATCTAAGTTGTTATACACTTGGCTGTTTCTCCATTAGATAAAAAGCTTCAAGCTTTCTTAAGTTTCCAATTATATTTAATATAATTGAGTTTAAATATATTTCACAGACACAATTTTAAGATCTCGTCAAACTTATTTTATAAATAATGGTGTGGGGTTGTATAGTTAAAATTTTGAAAGCCATTATCATTATTTAATTTTAGTATAGATTTCTGATTTCGTAACCTTTCTCAGGTTTTTCATTTCTCCTGTGCTCATTGATCTAAGTTATTAAATTAATTAATTAATTATTCATGTTCTTAAACTATATTTTACATTTAATTAAGCTTTGATTAAAAAAAAAATCCTATATTCACCACTTTGTTTTCCATATCAAGAACATAATAGTTTTCTAAAACTTGTTCATTAACATTAACATATCAATCTGTATTTATTAACTAAAGATCATTGAATAACTATTATTTTTATCTTATTTTATAAATTTGTCTAAACAATATTTTACCAAGCCATCTTATTTCTAATCGCGAGTGGAGGTACAATCACATAATATGGTATGTAGATGCAATCATGAATTATTATTTTTTTAAATTATCATCCTGACATGTCAGTGTTCTTAACATTTTTGTAAGTATTTGAAATGCATGCGTTACATTATATTTTAAAAGTATTTATAGGAAGAAATAACTCTTCTTATAAGCTGTTTGTAAGTATGTTGTATTCTGTTTTATGTATGTAAAATATAAAACTATACATGTAAAATATTATTTTCTATTTTTATTTTATGATCTCATTTTGTGAAGTTGTTCGAAGAAATATAGGAATAGTTATTATTCATCTATGTTAATGTGAGTATGTTAGAAATATTTTAAACCAATAATCTCTGTAACAAGTTTGTGGAACAGTTAGTATTCAAGATGGGTATGTATATTTCATATCATTTTTTGACAGACCTGTATTGTTGGGGCGAGTCTGGTGAACCCTGTGAGTATAATAAAAATCAGTAAAAAATAAAATAATTCATTTAACTATGAAATTGGAGCAAACTGGAAAGCTCAATAGAAATGAATTTTGAATTGGAGAAAGACAGCAAAAGCTACCTAATCTGAAGAACAGGGGAGATTCAGCTAAATATTGTACGTATTTGTAAAAAACAAAACAAAAAACAACAAAAACTAAACAAAATGACACTAAAATGTGTATAACTATATAAAAGTCAAACTTTGTTATTGCCCCCTTATAGGAAATGTCGAAGGGCTGAAAGGAAATGCACATGGGATAGTATGGATTGAGTTGATCCACTCGAGATAGATCGGCAGGTTTGGCAAAGGCCGCGTAAGTCACTCTCAGAACATTATCTCTCACAATCACAATTTATCTTTTTAATTGCTATTTCTTCTGTTGTATTATTGTATGTATAATTTCTTAATGTGAGAAGAAATTATAATTAGTTTTATGTTTCTGGAACCAGAGATGTTTCACATCTTATAAAGTTTTTCCCAAAGAAATAATAAAAAATTAGATTATTAGAATTTAGTAATGTAAATGTTCCCCAATTATTATTTATATTACACCAAACCAGAAAAATTGAACAAATATGTTAAATTAATTTAATTTTTACATTTGATTAAAATTTATTTTTCTTTTCTTTATTTATTCCCTTCATTATTACTTAAGCAGTTTTTGGATAAATTGAAATTTAGAGAATATTAAAATTTGATATAGGTTATTTTTAAAATACTTTCTAAATTTATTTGTAAAAGTAATTTTTTATTCTGGAGCATTTACTCCTCTTGGACATTTTTTTTTTTTTTTTTAAGTTGGGTATGTAGGTTTTCTTTGTTTTTTACAATTTCTATTATTTTTATTGATTATTTATTTAGTAATTGTTAAAATGCCCAGTATTAAAAAAAACTTACAGAAACATTCCTGCATTATTTCAAATTTTCCACCCTACAGCAAGAATCCTAGAGGAGTCATTGTATTAGTTATTTTTAAATTATATGTTTTATATACTTTTTTTTCTATTTCTAGATTTTTAAGTTACTTTTCGTTAGTCATTAGCTAGTTATTTAAAATGAAATAGTTACAATCATTATAACTTGTCATGGTATGTAACTATTTCATGCTTATATCATAATGTAGTTTTATTTACTAACGATAACTTCCTGAGCTCCCTGACCAATAATTAACTGATTATTTAACAATCCATTCTGGTCACAAATCACTTCTCTGTATCTAGAAACGTTTAAATTTTCTTGCTCCTTACATACATTTGTTGATTTTGGCTATTTTGGTTCGTTTCAATAGAACAAGTAATAACTTTGTTTTTTAATTTGTGGAAAAAGATATTTTTCTTCCTTTTACAATTAGGCTAATTAGATCAGTAAATACTAATTGTTTCTTGATTTTTCAATTTAAAATTTGTTCCTTATTTTTATATTATATGATCCATTTCAGAAATTAAAAATCAAGAACTATTTAGTATTAATTAACCAGTTTATGAAACAAAGTCATGAATATTATATATATTGATTTTAAAAATTAAACTAACTCACTACGACAGATTTTGGTATATACTTCTAAAGAGAGTGCATTACTTCTTTTAGTTTTACATATTATCAAGATTGGTTATTGACTAATTCCAAGAAGAATTTTCGGCTCATATAGACATATAGTAGCCACAGGTTACGAAAAAATAAACAAGATTATTTTCATGTAAGACTTTTGGCAATCTATGAAAGAAAATGTTCAAAATACAAAATATAAAAGGGATGACAACTTTCAGCTTAATAGAAGAGATGATGGAACTGAGCTCTGGACTTCTTGATTTAATACCAGAGGATGGAGCGAATTCTGTTGAGTTATCAACATATATCTCCTTTCTCCTAGTCCTTGGGAAATATAGTTGATCATAAATAAAATCCTAATAGCTTTTAAGTAATTTTTTATATATCTATTGCTTAATGCCTTCAAAGTATGTCTGCTGAATTTTTGTGGCATTTACGAGGGGGAACCCAAAGTAAAATGGGAATCTCGTCATAACTTCTTTTTTCTTAATATTTTTACTCCAAATTTTGATCACCTTCAAAGTATTCTCCCTTCACCACAATGCACCTCTCCAAACAATCCTTCCAGTTTTCAAAATATTTATTAAATTCACTAATCAGGATGTTTAGGCCTCCCAGCAATTTT